GTTCTGCTCTGAAATTATACTAAAACAATTATTTGCCTCAGGTTAGGTGAATATTGTTGAATAATCCCCTCAACTTTGTCTTGGGGATTATTCAACGATATTCATCTCACCTTCAGCGAATAATTGTTAAATATTGCTGAGCATATTTGATTAGCGAGGTTTTTAACTTAAAAAAGTTTTCAAAGCCAATCTAAAGAAACTGATTTTAATGATTCTACCAACAGGTTACATACACCAAGTGCGCTCATACAAAGGCAACCGGACCATCTCTGCGACAATGCTTTTCACAGTGACTCTTGATAACACATTCAACAATTCCAGCTGCGAGAATGAGACATATGAGTACAGACCACTTAGTGATGCTAAAGTGCACTGGACCTATAATAAAGGGGACAAGACTATTGACATGGGTTATCAGAATGTGGAGACATTCAGACAATACTTTTTGTCTTCATTTGAAAAGTTTCAGGTTAGGGCTCTTTCACAAAGTCAAATAGAATAAAGCAAAGGTTAGAGACAAACTCCCTCACTTTCATTACTAACAGAATGCTCCAACTTAGTAACTGACTGACTGACTGACTGACTGACTGACTGACTAATTATGGCCTGCCAACTAACTCATGCTTCTGTTTCTGGTGAAACAGCTGAATATAGACCACTTTCATAAATGGCTGCTGTATAAATATTCTGTTTAAATTTAAATTAGCCCTTCTGGCCTCGCTTGAGATAATATATTCTTTTGAATTTTGTACTGGAGAACGAGGCCAGTAGGGTTAATCTAAATTTAAACAAAAGAATATTAATCCGGCAGCCATTTATGAAAGTGGTCTATGACATACACATTGAAATATACCTGGGTCCAGTTGTATAAAGGGCAGATAACAGTGTCCAACCAACGAATTGGTATCCAGCTGATAAGTGTTAACAAAATGTACTGTGCTATGCAGCAGATATTGTTATTCACGTTTTTAACTACTGGGTCCTTGTGGAATTAGAATATCAATTCTTCTGTTTTTGTGTGGGACAGGAGAGGGGCTTGGAAGACTAAAGAACCTTAACTGAAACTTCAAGAGCACACACAAATAAGAACCAGCAATAAACTCAACCCACATGTGAAGTCAGGAGCCCATTTCTTGAAAGTCCCAGTAACTTCATGGGCCTGACATGACTTTTCAGAATAATGCAAGTCTTGGCTCAAAAGCCAGTCCATCTTCTCTCTTTTCAATTTCATACCTATTGGCATCTTTATCTTAAATGAAACATAGCAAACAAAGTATCCACTTTTTTGGCCCATTAAGTTATCAGGTCTTTCAAGAAACAGGTCCTTGATCTAGAAATCAAACCATCTCATTCTCCTTCTCAAATGCCTTTTCTGTAGAAATCTTTTTTGAAGTAGTGTTATTCAATATTTCAATCTTTTTCAGACTGACAGGTTAACTGACAGGCAATTTTCCAAACTGATAGAAGATATATTCACTCTTGATGAAGAGATCATAGATCTGATCCAGAGAGACACCTATGAAATCTTCCACACATTGTTAGATCCAGTTGGCAAGGGATTTCTCACACCCGATGATATCAAAGCTCTCTCCCAAAAAACATTGAAAGAAATTGTGCGGCGCTGTGAGGAACCACATGGACCTGTTGCTGGAGCTCCTGGTGATAAAGGAGCTGCTTCCAAATTAAAAATACAGACAGAAGCTGAACAAGATAAACATATTGAAAGAGAGAAAGAAGAGAGAGATGAATTATAAAGTTCACGATGTTGAGTAATATCTTTAAAACATGTCAAATAGTGGCATAATGTATAGCTTAAAAAACAGTATTGAATTAAGACAATTTAATATACTGATAAATGACACCACAAATCATGTTGGATTCTGAACATCTAAACAAAACATGAACAGCTTTTAGTTTCACTTTTTTTTATTTTAGTTCTGTGAAAGTTACACATAATAATGAGTGAGAAATTAAAATGTAGAGGGACCAGCATAAATAAGAGAACAACAAAATGCTTCCTCTTTGCTCTTCGACTAGAAAATGGTTTAATTTTTTTTACAAAACTAATTGCTGAAATTGTTCTCAATTCCAAGGCCAACTCCACTCCAATACGAGAGCAATATTAGATTTTATACCACTCCAATACAAGTGCAGCATTAGAGTTTGTACCGGACGTGGCCTTAAATAGTGCATTGAACAATACAATTTTCAGGCTACAATTTGAAGGCTTCCAAGTAGGAATGGTCCATACATTTTCATCAAGAAAATAAATACTTTAAAACAGAATCCATGTCTTATAATATCTTCCTACAACTTCCAACTCGTCAAAATATAATCAATAAACTGTACTTAAGAATTTTCTTGCAAATAACCACTTAGTAGACTTGTACACGTACAGATGTGCACAAGGGAGGAACAGTTTGAAGAATTCTGATGACATTGACATTGGGTTACTCTTTTCCCTTGAATAAAATATATCTTATTAGACGTTTTGTTCTGTAGGTAAGGGAAAGAGAAAGCAAGGGAGGCCACTGGAGCACTTCAAAGACTGCATCAAGGCCAACATCGCCTACACTGGCATCACAACAAAGCAGCTTGAGGAGTGTACACAGGATCGCACTGGATGGCGTGCATTGACGCGCGAAGCAACAAAAGCCTTCGAAGCACACCGGTGAGCCAACATCACTGAGGCTCGCGCTAAAAGGAAGGCAGCAGCAGAGACACCCAATCCTCCTGGCCAGTTTCCCTGCTCCCACTGTGGACGTGTTTGCCGTTCCTGCCTTGGACTCCTCAGTCATCAACAAACCCACCCACGCACATAGACGCCATCATCGAGACTGATGGACCACCAACATCGTTGAGTATTTTTACCGGTTGTGCCGTATTTTGATGATCCCGTAAGGTGAGTCAAAATACAAACAACAAGTAGAAATACTCAGCAATACTACACAACAAAACGTCTAATAAAGAGATTTATTATCCAACACACCAAATTGTTATTTCAATGTACGCAAATTTCGTGGATATTTCTAGAGTACAAATATCGCATGATATTTTTACTCATCTCAGGCGTTATTTGTACTCTAGAAGCATAGTTGGATAATAATTGCAAATACTACAGCTGGGTGGGGGTGCATGAAATTTAAAAATTGAAGAAACTGGAAACAAGTCATCCTGCCAGAACTTCATCTATGCTTTTAGTTTCCCTCAATGAAGTGGCTAATCATGTGAAAATGTCTTCACTGTGCATTCATCCAATGAACTTAAAATTGGACTATTATCTTGGTAGAGTTAAGCTAATGGGTTTCTGTTCATCAGTGCTATGTCTTCCTGCACCATTTCTTTGACCAGTTCCTGAAAAAAGGTCACAAAATCAATGTGAGTTTCTTGAATTTCAAACTTGAGCAAGCCACATACTGTACCTAGAGGAGGGGAAACGTGAGATATTCAAAGCAGAAACTTCATGGTAACTTTGTTACATTGAAAATTTAAGACGACTACGTCCCACCACAAAATGAAATAGAGATTGACCACCATGCGTATACATTTCAATATGAACACATTTGAATACTGATAATCTACACGTACCTCAAAAGACACTTTAGGTTCCCAGCCAAGGAGTTTCTTTGATTTCTCAAATGATCCTTGAAGGTATTCCTGGAAAATGTAAAGATTTGCATCAATTTTAAAACATATTTTGAAATTTGTACAAACATATGATGCCTGACTTGGTGATAACAAATTCCAATCCCATTTCCCCAAACTACCAAGCCTTTGTGGATGCTGACCAGCACAAAGACCCTTAGGATCAGTTATTTAAATGAATCCAAATCTTCATTTTTATGCAATCAGTAGGCCCCAGGTTTTCTCTAATAAAAGGTTGATTTGATAAAAATTAATGTCCTTTCACTGTTAGTTTTTGGCCCCCTCAACGCTGTTCATAACAATAAAATTAATGTTTAAATAAAAGGTGCTGCTAATTTGAAAACTCTTTAGAGTACGGATACACAATAGCTAAACTTGAATTAAATAACTGGCTCCTTAATGTCCACATTAAAAGACCAGCCTGACAGCTCTCAGGAGAACAAATCATGCAAAATATTGATGAGTTCATGATATTCCTCGAACTCATCAATCTTCATGCAGTATAATCAAAGAATGTAACTCACCACTTCTGTAGGTCTGTAAAACTTTGGATTCACTCTTACAAGAACCTTCCTGCTGTCTTTGTCCAAACCAATTTCTTTATCACCATCTCCTTCCCACCTGCAAGACAGTACACCTTTCATTTGAGGGCAATTCTTCCCTAAACTGGATCTACCACTGACAGTAGAACATCATCTACACCTACACCTGTACCCCACTAACCACCTCATTACAACCACTTTTTGTTCACTTAGTGCTTAAAAACTGACAGTCTGTTTTTAAGGAGTGCTTTTATCTGCTTTTGACCAGCCACTTGGGGCTTACAGTTACATTAAAAGGCAGATTCCCATTTCATTGCCTATTGCAGCTGGTAGCAATCTCAAATCACTCCAAGTCTACATTTTTAAGTTGTGAGAACACTGCATGTATTTCTGACCTGTACATGTAAGCAAGTTTGCTCTATGGCTGAATTTTTTGCCATTTTCTCTGGTCCAGTTGAGCCAAATCTGTTGGCAGTCTAACTTTCTTGCACCTAGTTTTATCTAAAGCACCAAACTTTGTTCTCTATCTAGAGGAATTGCCTAAAATTTATCTTGCACATGAATTAATTAATAGAAAATAAAATGCCACATGAAGACCTACATAATGGTTATGCCAACTTCTTGAAAAGCTGCTTCAACAAATTCTCTGACACTATGGACTTTGTTAGTTGCTATTACAAAGTCTTCTGGTTTATCATGTTGCAAAATAAGCCACATAGCCTACGATAAAAGTAAAGGTTAACAGTATTAATTTTACTGAATGGCTATCGCCACAAAGTTTCTTCATTCAGCAAAGTGTGTGTTCTGTTTTCCAAAGATGGGATGCAAAGCCAGACTGAAAAAGGATACTGGAACCAACATTTGATCAGTGAAACAAAATTTAATGAGTAAGTGAAGGGGGAAGGAAGAGAGGTGGCAGAGAAGGAAAGGTTTAAGAGCAGGTGCTTGTGATGGAAGTTGCTGTGGGAAGGGAATGCTGTGGCTCTGTCATCCTAGCTACAGTGCATTGATTGGTTGATTCTACAATGTAGGTGTTTCACTGTTACAGCTGGATAGAAAAGTGACCAGACATGTACAATTATACTACTAACAATACTATGTTTCATAAGGGTACATTTCTTTCATATGTTATCCGGTCTTCAATCTATCAATTAATTTATCAAAGACCAGAGAGCTTACCCTACTGATGGCAATTCCCCCCCCCCTTCCCCCCATCACTCCCTAATCACTGTTGTCAGTATGTCACAGTGGCCTTTATGGAACATACATGTATAAGGTCATCAAAAAATTAATCCATACTTTACCTCAACATAATCTCTGGCGTGCCCCCAATCTCTTTTAGAATCCAAATTTCCAAGTTGAAGCTGGAATATAAATAACAAACAACATGAGAAATATACTTTATGTATTTAATTAGTCATTAAAAGTAATAATAATAATAATAATAATAAAGAGTATTTCTATAGTGCACAACTCCAATAAATTGCCCATGGCACTTTACAACTGATAAAAAATTATAAGGAAACTACATTTACTGACATTCACTAACAAACATTTTAAAAAGATAAGTTTTCAAAACGCTTTTGAAAATGTCAACAGAAGAACTACGTATTGAAAGAGGCAAAGAGTTCCACAATCTAGGAGCACATACTGCAAACAATCGATCACCATAAGTTCGCATTTTTGAAGATGGCGCTACAAGGTCGCCATTACTAACAGATCGCAAAGAATATGAGCTCTTACGATAAAAAGTATAGATGATTACATCAATTATCAATAGCTATTCCCACAGTGAACAAACACCCTTCTGAAAAGTAAGTTCTAGTCCTTTTACCTCATCCTGTAGTCCTAAATGGATTTTTGCCACTGCTCTTGTTATCTTCCTTGTTACAAATGTCTCACCTTGGTTACAAATCACAGCATTAACACCTCACTAACCTGTACTTAAGCATGATTGGTAAAAGTTAAGTCTGTTTATGAACCAAGTGGCCCATCAGACCAGCAGTTAACTCCAGTTTTTGTCACCTGAAGTAACTGGGAGTATTTCTACTTCCCCCTGAATGGGATGTGAGACAATCGCAGGGTTACCCCTTAAAGTATCTTGCCTAGGAACACAACACAATGTCCCCAGCTAGGGCTCGAACACGGACCACTTGATGCAGAGTCAAGCACAGTAACCATGAGTCCATCACCCCTCCAACCACTTATACAAAGTCAGGTTTGTAAAATTTTGATTTTTGTTTTGTTAAGTCATTTATCAACTATATCAAGTCTATGACTTGTCATAAAATAACAAAGAAACTTTGAGTGCCCTGACTGGCCAAAAACCAAAGTATGCTTATTGCACCAATAAACCCATAGAAAATTAAAGTTTTTATTTTATCAAAAGCAATAGACTGCACTTTCCATTTGTCTACCAGACAGTGTAATAACTTACTTAGGAGAAAACTCACTCGAAAAGTTTGTAAATCACCAGCAAGAGGCTACCAATCATGAATTACAAATTTTTCTTGTTTTTCAACATCCAACATCCCACGTGGATTATTATGCCCCTAAACCAATAGTCTATTGCTAGATAGGTATTACTAATTAATCTGTACCTCTGCGTGGACTTTCATGATTGAATAGGATTCCATTGGTGGCAAACATGTTGTAAGCCTCTCTATAATTTACCACTATCCAGAAGGCATACACTTTTGCGGCACCTAAAGATTAGAGAAGATTCAGACAAAATTATGGGGGTAAAATTAGTGTTTAATTTCGATAAAAGAATTGCAGAATAAGTTTGCTGAATTGCCACATGCCACTAATCTGACAACTAGACCTCAACAGATAAATTATTATTAACATTTAGAGCATGCAGTCTGCTTAAAAACAAAAAAAATAAATAACATCTTAAAATCTTTACCATATGGTGACCTGGGGTAAAATGGAGTTTTCTCGGTCTGTGGAATTTCTTGAACTTTTCCAAACATTTCACTTGTAGAGGCCTATAAGATAATATAATCAAACCAAATTAGTTCATTCAAAGCTAAGGACAATTCCAAGAAAAGAAAAAAAATTAAAATTTATGTAAACTCCGTGAAATTCTAACCTTTACAACATAACCCTTTAATTCCAAAGATCTGATGGTTAATTCTCCCCTCTGGTGGCTAGACATTATTATTATTTTTTGGTAAATTAGTTACAAGTACTTGGTGTTAGATCAAGGCAACAACTTTTCAAGATAAGTTTGAGTATTCTCATTACCTGTTTGCTGAAGAATGTATGGATATTATTGGGAGAAGTTACATGTTAATCACTTTTGGGAGCAAAAGGATTGAAATAGTAAACTAAATTGCCCAGTCTGTTGCAAACATCACATCCATGAAACATTGTTAAAAGCATTTACCCTTAAATAAATAAATAAATAAATAATGACTTGATTAGATCGCACAATTACTGGTAGAACCAGTAGTTTTCATTGTGGTCCTCGCAAACAACTGAAACAAATAATTCAAATAGAAAATAACATTATTAAGAATCCCAACTGGCCGGAGGCAAACCAGTTGGCTATTTACAAGCATGGCCGAGGATTAGAACTCGGAGCTACCATGAAACAAATCCAGGTAGTGGTCAAGGTGGGACTTGAACC